GGCATTAATGCCCTGTTCTGGTGATCATGTGTGAATTCTTGCATCAGTTTCGTATTCTTATCTGACCATAGTGGTCCTTTGCTGCAGGAGTCCATCTGCTTCAAGAATCAACATTTTGTGGTTCAGAGAAGGTATTCTGCAGTCTTTCTGGTACCAACAAAGTCCCTTAAATCTCTTTTCTTCCTCATTCTGATGCCCAGTTAAGTTGCTGCCATGCGATTGGCTGATTAGTGATTCAAGTTACGGTCATAAACAATTGAACAGGTGTGGGTAATAAAATAGTCGGTGAGTGCATAAAAACACAGAAGGTTTTTAATTGTCTTTTTTTGGTGCTGTTATCGAAGCTCAAGGGCTGCCAACAGAAAAGACGGATCTCTTAAAGGAACCAACGAGTACTGAGGGTTTCACCAGTGACGAGCCTTTCTACCCCGAAACGTCCAGCTGGGTACTTTTGGAGGTTAAAGGACTTAAGTTGTGAAATTTAAGACTGTTAACCCTTTGATCATGTTCAACTTAAAAGTATAAATGTATTTAGTCCCGTTGATGATACTTGACAGGAGCTTAGAAAAGAGATGGGAGAAAAAAAATAAAAAACGCCTACACAACAAATGCCGGTGCAAGCAAGTGTCGCCTGAAGCAAAAAAAGAACTGTTGTTGTTGGGTGTTATCGATGCCAAGTAGAAAAAAGAACTGGAAAATGTACACCTTACACAGAAATACATAAACCGCATGACCCAGTGGGTCAGAGAGGCCTGCATATTTCTTTCTACAGTTTCCTTTTTTTATGTTCTGGTGGCCCTCCTCCAGCTATGTCCTTTTGTTCCAATATCAGCCGGAGCAAATGTGGGTGGAATGAGTGTAGTCCTGCCAGTGTTGCTGCAAACATCAGAGCCAGTCATCACAGTGCGGCATTTGAACGGAAGCCATGTGACACAGAAAAGTCTCGATGTTTACATGAAAAGATAAGAGAAAGGTGTCCTTTTATGGAAAACAAAGATAATGGAATGGGTGTTTTGCTACAAAATGTTATAAATATAAATCCCTGGTTAACAACTACCACATATGAGCAGATTAAGGTCACAGTTTTGATACAAATGTTCAAGCAATCACCTCTTATGAAAGAGATAACTGTATGAACATGATGTGGTTTGGTGGCGGTGTTATGTAACATTTCGTAGCACCACAGCAATGAATGCCTCAGTGTCCAGAACAAACCACTGGGCTGCCAAGACATGTGTCGCCATGGTCACTCACCGCTGCTGCGACAGCCCATCAGAGCGGATACACACTTGTAATGAGCTCGCTTCACGTTCCAGTCGCCAACACTGTTTGTCTGAATCATAACCAGCTGGATTTTTGATTATATGAAGGAGACAAAGACGCAGACCTTATTTTGTGGGAAAATCATAGAAAATTATGTTTTGCTCAAGTGAGAATAAACAGAATTTTCATTTAGTGTTTTCGATCAAGTCTCGGTGTGATGATAAAGAAAAGGTCCAAGGATTACATTTACATTGAATAATGTAATATTTTTATATTTTTCACAAATTGTAACTTACGATTTAAGCTTCTTTTACTTAAATGCTAAATGAAGTCGAGGTTCTGATCTTTTTAAATGTGTTTCTGTAGAAACATTTTTAAACCATTACCATCCTTACGTGATGTAGATAGCTCTGTAAATGACCTCAGTTTACAGAAAAAGTTCTGATAGATTAAATATAAAATATAAAAGTTCATGAAAATGTTTTATAACTTCCAAATTATTGTAAATTTAGCTCTATTTATGAAGAATTGTTGATTTTCTTTTAGGAGAAACTAGTGAGAGCTCAATGGACCAGAGCTTTTGTAGTGACGGCATCTAGCATGTTATAAAAAATTTTAGATCAGAGTTGTTATTTTTTAAACGTCAACGAGGCTGAACATGAAAATAGTCTTCTACCCCTATTTCCTGCATTAGCCACCAATAGAAAATAGATGGGAAAACACTTGAATTAGAACAGCCAGTCAGATCTACGTCACATTGAAAATTAGCGTTCATGCACTCACCCATCCGTTGCACCTCCTCATCAAGAGGAGCCAGTTGAGGTGACTCAGACATCTGATTAGGATGCCTCCTGGACGCCTCCCTGGTGAGGTTTTCCGGTCACGTCCAACCGAGAGGAGACCCAAAGGAAGACCAAGGACACGTTGGAGGGACTGTGTATCTCGGCTGGCCAGGGAACACCTTGGGGTTCCTCCGGAGGAGCTGGCGACCTGACTCCGCAGAAGAGAATGGATGGATGGCACTCACCCATCTTGGCTTGCTCCGGGAAAGTCTGTTGTTGATCAAGCATCCAGGACAGCAGAGCACATCTCAGCTGGTAGAAGCTAACTATTAGCATTAGCAACTCCACAACATCGTAAAACTCCTTCAGGCTTGTGTTATTTGTGGGCATAAAACATCAACGTTGCAAAGTGAACAGTGGTTGAGTTCCATTGTTGTTAGCCAATCAGAGGTGAGAAGTTCAAGTATCAGGAACTCTAAATCCTGTAGTTTTCTGTCTCCCACTCCTCTGGCTAACTTCTAGTTCCTGAAACAGGAGTGCCGAGCTTTTTTCCCACAGAGATCGACCAACGAGGCATTCATTTGTACTATTAAGCCCCCTTCAGACAGGCCATGAAAAACGGAAATGTTCCGGAATCTGTCCGTAAGACCTTTCTGTCTGAATACAAACATCCAGATAACATGTTCCGGAATTTATCCGGACGAAGCCCCTAGTAACAGGTCCGGACATGTTACGGACAGGGTGGCTGATTCAGACTGGTGAGGTAAAGTTCTGGACAAGAGGGAGGGGGAGGAGGAGGGGACCAGGGGAAGCTGTGCGCACCTAGATAGCCCGCTGCTGTAGCATGCGGCGAACCACGGCAGCTCGCCTCCTACGGTACTGTCGAGACGCGCGACGGAGCGCTTCACACCGCTTCAGTGATTCCTTTAACCATTGAGCTTCATCATCCAGGTCTCTTATGCGTCTTCGTGTGCGCAGAATTATGCTTAAGCGCCTCGTGATTTTTATCTTGAGAGGCGCTATAGAAATGATATTTTCTTCTTCTTCTTCTTAACATAAGTCCGATCCCCCCCCCACCCCCGCCGCCGTCAGACATCTGGAACTTTTCCCTGCTGTGTGAACGCAGCCGAAAGGACAAGTTCCGGTACAAAAGTGGTGTGTCTGAAAACACAGTTCCGGTTAAAAACCGGATTAAATTGTCCACAAATGTTCCAGAATGTCTATCTGAAAAGGGCTTTAGAGACCATTGCAGATATGTTGAAAAAATTTGTGAACTTGGTCTTCAAAATAGAAAAACGTCAGTCTAGCCGTTAGCTAGTCAACATGTTCAAAACGAATCTTTCTCCAAATCACGGTCAGTTAAAGATTTACCAGCATGCAGATAAGATATAACTCACAATTTGTCCACTGGTTTAACAAAACCAAGTGTTAATGGGAGGTAAATGGAACATCGGTTTATATTTTATTTACTGCTGATGAAAAGTGACCAGTTTGGACTCTCGTATTAACATTTCATTATGGAAAGATTCTTAACAGCTTGATTCTCATAGTTTTTATGTTTATGTCTAAAAATATAAAACACCTTTTTCATCATAGACAGTTTGTCTGGAATGTGAGTTTCTGAGGTAAACTGTGGTCTTGTTCTGGGATGTCTGATATGATCGGCCGATACTGGCATTAAAATATAACATCAGAAATGATCTTCAACACTTTTTACTCTTTTTTTGACACAACTATTACATCAAACTCTTCAGCTACGTCTCCTCTCACTCAAAATGTCAAAATACGACAGATCCAACAAATGTTTTTCAAGATTTTTTGTTTGGTTGGCAGAACTGGCCTGACTTAAACTGAAGCATATTTTGCGCAGGTTTAAGTACACATGACAGGAAATATGTAATGTTAGTTATAGATGATTTAGTTTTTTCTTTAATGAGGGCGGTGCTCTACATATATCGGTAAAAAAAGCCAATTTCAAACAAGCTTGTCCCATCTAACCATTAAAAGTTTAAACAAAGTAAAATCTTACATTACAGTTCCTTCCTTCTCCAGTTCTTTGTCTTTGGTCCATTTTCTAGTTGATAAAGCATGTAAACATGGATGTCACATCTTTGGCTTTTGGAAGCTTTAATCTGAAATGTTTTTATCTGCTAATTAGGTTGTAAACTTCTCCACTTAATGTAGTGTTTAATGCTTATCTTGCACAGGCTGAAGTGTTACATGAAAGGCTGTCAACAGCTCGGGTGCTTCTGATTGGTCACATTAACAGGAGAATGTGATTCCATCCATGTAGGCATATTTTAGGCTTTATCTATACAACTCATCCTAATTGGAGCGAAAGCTTTTTCCCCAAAGGTCCTTCAGCTCTCTGTCCTGTTTGCAGTCTTAAGGGTGCATTCAACTTTGCACTCATGTTTGTTTTTTAGCTTATGCACACCTCTTAAATTTCATGCCTGCTGAATCATTTTGCAAGAGCTTTTATCATCTCAGTGAATGTGATGTTTAGGTTAAGGTTTAGATAAAGTTCTAATTGCCCATGACCAGCAGCGTTTTTAGCCTAAATGAAATGCATATCAAGTAAACTAGGTTGTTCCACGTAATCCTGAAGGATATGCTGGTGAAGGTTCTCAGTCGTCCAGGTCGTGATAATCCAAAAGGGTTCAAATGAAGGCAACTGGACTTCTTTGGTTTCTTGAAGAGTAGCTTTGTCAATTCTACATGGAATATGGGAGAGTCAAGCTGAAGGGTATGTGTATTAATAATATGCCTTGAGTTGTAGGATGTGCAAGAAGGGGTCTTGATTCTGTAGCAGCAGGAGAATACTTGTGAGGACATCAGAACTAAAAGGTCATTAGAGAAATGATTGCATTTCAGTTTAGAAATAAGGCTAGAAGATTTACAAATATTAGTTATTTGCAGTTACTGTGCAGCGTGACCTTTGGTGCTCTGCCGTCTTCCAGTCTCATTCAGGGCTGAAGTGATTAAATTCTGTGCAATCGTGCACAATCTGTTTGCTTTGAAGAGGCTATGTGATAGTTTTAATCTAAAATCTATTCTCTTATTAATTGTAAATCTAATATTTTCTATTCAGGTTTAATAGGATGATCTGACTGGACCACCATCCTCTCTGTGATGCTTGCATCAGACACGTCCAGGTTTTATGCTTCTCTGGCCCAGCTCCACGCTCTCATACACATCTGCCTGTGCTCTTGTCATATTGTATCTGACATCCTCTCTCTGCTTCCTCTGGGATAACATATTGTACATGGGCATGGGCTGCTTTGCCGTTGGATGTAGAGCCACATTCAGAACGTGACTGATGTTCAAACAGCTCGCATGCCCCTGCCAAGCAAACACAGAAGTTACACTTGATAAGCCACTACACTCTATTCCAGTTTCATTTGCAGGTTTTCCATTCATCAAGAAGGAAAGAAGAATGTGCTTCCCTGGTTTCCCCTCATCTGTTTGTCAGACGCTGCTGCACAATCATCAGTCTTGAGGAGATAGCGAGTGGAGTGATGCTGAAAAAATATTGAAATATGTTAGATTGATTGAGAAGTTTACAAAAGAGAGAAGCTGCTCATGCGAGCTCACTGTTCCCATCTCACTTTCTCATATTTGTTAGTAACATTATCACCATAGGTGTCGTGCTGTTGTCCAGAAATCCTGCAGGAAGGTTAATGGCTGCCGGTGTTCATACAAAATAAAAGAGCAACATGTTTTGTTTTTATTTTCCTCTTTTATTAAAAGACTTCTTTTGTGAGTTCGGCTTCAGCAGACTTTTGTAGCCCTCGTCTCTTTTCAGCCTGAGACCCTGAGTGATTGTGGCCCCTTCTGCTGTCACTCTGAGCTCAGTCTACCCCGCTATCCTATTTGAAGTTCTGTCATTGCCTGGCTTTGAACTGCCACTTATGTTTTACCCAGCATGCTGCTTGTCTCCGAGGTTTTGTCTGGTGTGAAATTGGCTGAGCCATAGGCCACATTTCAGCTCAGGGTTTTTATAATAAATACTGGACACATTTAAGCGTGCTCAGCAGCTGCCCTGTCTCAACGCTTCTGAGCTCCTTGACTTTTTTTGTGTTTTTTACTAGATTGTATTTTGCTCTTATTTGCACTGAGCTGCTTGCATCTTTGCTTTAAATCTGGTTAAAATTGAGTTATTCTGCAAACATATGCAAACTGTTTCAGTTACAAAAAGCTAATACACGAAAGGCAATTGTTTTGTGTTTGCTTTCTTTTGAAAAAACAAAAACGGAGATTTCACAGAATTGTGACCTTTGACCTCTTGCTATTTAACATTCCCCTCACCCCAATCCTAACCTTAACCCTCTTGCACTTTCAAAACTCTAAGTCCTACATTGTGTGGTTTCTGATTTCAAACATGAAAATTGCCAGGATAGATGAGAAATCTCAAATGTGACCTCGAAGTAAACAAACATGATGAAGGAGGAGCTTAGTGTGCTTCTGTCACCGTGCTTTTTGATTGGCTAGACATCACATTCAACAAGCAGCATGATTGTTAATCCTGACCCCGCACCAGTCATGAAAACGTCATGTAATGTAAAAGCAGCGTTTTACCCGCGAGCTCTCTTCCAACCAGGAGCGAAATGGGAGCAAAAACGTTCCACGCCGCTGGCCCTGCAGAGTCACAAAATCACGGGAGAATTGCAACACCACGCGTGATTTCAAAAGTCTACTCAATAACAAGCAAGGAGAAAGACGGCTGCATGTATCCAGAAAAGTCAGTGGTTTATTTTCTGATCTGTTTACGTCGGCTACAGAGGAGATGACCTTTTTACTCTCTGCGCTTCCAGAACGTGTCAATCGTAACCACAGATCAAGCCAGATAGGATGTCAAACACAAAGCTGTGTGAAACATCCCAAAACTTTGAAAACAAAAGTCACATGCAGAATTCCTGTTCCTTGACTAGTAAAAAAAGAACATCATTACCTGCGAAGCCTCTGCGTGGATCCCTTCCGCTAACGTTTAGTGTCTGAAAGCTTGGGGTAAAATGCAAATGCCACCACCATTTGCACCAGTTGTAAGTGTTCACATAATATCTGAGAAAGTAAACACCAGCGCAGAGGCGACCTCTGGTCAAGCATGAATGCCTCTTTCCAATAGCTTTTAGAATTGGAGGAAAGAGCAAAACCCTGATTTTCTCAAGCAATAGCTGCACAATTAGTTTGTGATTTTTAATCACTGAATTAAAAAGACAAACCTGTCATTTCTTTAAATTCTGAACGAGTTCATTCCCACCAACCCTCTGATCCTCATCTATTCACTTACCGCATTAAAACCATTATAGAGAGGCTTAAAGTTGTTGGTATTTGTAACAATGAATATCAAATGTGTTTAAATATTTAACAGGAAGCAGTTATTGTTATCACAGCATTAATCACACATCTCCACAAATGAAGGTGTGTGTCCTCTAGAAACTTATGGACATTTCTTTTAACACATCGACCATAACAGCCATGTCTTTTTATTTATGCAGTTATTCCTTATGTAAGTAAACAGTCAGTAAATGAAGCTTTAAAGCATTAAAATGTAGTCATAATCTGAGTTTTTGTAACTGGCAACCCTCTATGTGACATGCAGTAATTTTTACTCCAGTGAAGAATTTAGGAATGTGGTCAGCAGATGCTTGGCTTCTCTGTAGGTGCCCCTCCAGAAAGAAAGCAGCAAACACAACCAGATGCTTGGTAACTAATCTGGTTTTGCTCCTTTGAGACTGACTCACAGTCTGATGCTCTGCTGCTTTTGTACATCAGGCTCATGCTCTGAGAGGAGAGCATCTTTGTTGGGACTTCGGTAAAGCTGCAGCTTTGCTTGTTAACCTAAAAACAACAACAGTGGCCGGTAATCGCTGGGGCCACTGCGAGACTCCAAATGATGAAACCAGCCACATTCTGTGCAGGAGTGCACTTGTTAGGAGGGATCCCCAGAGAGATGTTTTTACTTACTGCAGTGATGGTGCAGCGCCTGGGTCCATCGCTGCAGGGTGGGCTACTGGTGGCAGTTTTGTGGCTCAAGGCGCCACCAAGACATCTGTCCCTCTGGGCCATGAGAAAACAATCAGCCTCCTCTATGGTGACGATTACATCTGAGAACTGTGATTCTGCCTCAGATGCAAATTTTTATTTGTGTTAGATGAGCCATATTTGATAAAAGTACTTTGATCCTAAAGTACGTTGCGTTTTTGATAAGGAAGGGAATTAAACCAGTGCTTTAACATGCCAACTTCTGCTGGCATGCTTTCAAAGATCCATGTTGTGCACTTCATTCCAACTGTAAAACTTTATCATTCATGCACAGTGCTCAATGTTTACAAGCTGCGATGAAACGAGGGCACCCCGAGCTCAGAGACACGGTCCAAATGTCTAAATTTCACTGCAACACAAGCAATTAGCAGAGCGCTTGTTCTTGCTTCTTATCTGCGAATCTCCCTCTTTCCATCGTGCCAGTGGGAGATGAAAATGCCTTCGATGTCCTTGGATTCCTGTCTTGTAAACACCAGAGGCAACGAGCGCTGTTTACCAGTGTGCATGGCAGGCAAACAGCAATGCTTCATCTCTCGCACAGTTGGTCCCGTGGGGCTGAACTCACCTTGTTACCCTTTTAATTAGTAGCAGCAGTTAATAGCGCCGCCGCTTCTGCTGCCTCAGCACTCTGCCCTGTCTCCAAGAATCACCCAGATCAATAGCTACGGAGACAGGGAGATGAGGCAGAGGAAGGGACTTGTGTTTTCTTTTGTTTCTCCTTCGGAAAGAAATCATACAACACGTAGTTTAGAAAATATTCAGGGCATGTGTTTTATTCCATTTCTTCTTGTACGTTTAAAGGAGTAATGTGGTCCATGAGCTCCATGTTCACATTCTTCTTACTCAGGTCTCCCTCTCCTCCGTTTCCTCTCCTTTGAAAATGAATGTAATCACAAAGCTAAGGGTTTGCTTGGCAGATTCTATTGTGCCCTTATAAGCTTTTATCCCTTCCAACCACTCGCCTCCCCTGCTCATTTCTTTTCTTGTTTTGATTTAAAGATGCAGTGGAAGTACTTAGCATTTAGATGACATGCTGCAGGAGAGGTGTGATGGATCAGCGCCTCTTCGGAGGACTGAATTTCTTTCATAGTCCTGGGGCTGGTCTACCTGCAGGACAGACGGAGCGACAGATAAAGGAGTGGCAGGCTGGGCGGGCAGCGGAATACCAAGTCTGCCTTGCCGCCGCGGAAAGAGCCTGGCACAGCCGAGGGGAGAGCAGCGGCTGCTGGGAATGCCAATGCGCTGCCCAGACAGCCGTCTCGCCTTAGCTCCTCTGATTGGTTAAACACACCATTAGCTTTCTGATTATAATTAGCCGAGTCATTATCTACAGAAAAGTGGCTGGTTCACTTGTAATAAAAAGGCAAGAAGGCAGTTTTCTTCTTCTGGTCAAGGAGAAAACAATGTTTTGTCCTACATGGGATGAATATTAGGAGTTCACAAAACACACACACAGAGAGAGAGAGAGAGAGAGAGAGAGAGAGAGAGAGAGAGAGAGAGAGAGAGAGAGAGAGAGAGAGAGAGAGAGAGAGAGAGAGAGAGAGAGAGAGAGAGAGAGTTTATTAAAACCCTGCTTTACGGCTAAAGTGATAAAATATCTTGAGCCTTTGAGGGAAAATAGGTTGGTCTCTGTTTAAAGCTCATTTTTTCTGGTCAAGGAGAGAAGCAGCATCCTTACAGAACATAAACACTTCTAGAGAATAAATTAACCTTCAGATATTTTGTATCTCCATAAATTCAACGGGAATAAGTTGCTTTTAAGTGGACACATTCTGCTCTGCGTTCTGTGCCAAATAGTTTAAAGTTGAAGTCAATGTTCTAACTCTCTCATTTCTTTTCCAGCCTTTACCCAAGGAGCCATCGTAGGATGCAAAAGGGAAAAAAGCAAGTATGTGTTTATTAAAGTGGCTGATTTAACAACCACATATTTTATTGCTAAGTCTTTAGTTTTAATATTGTAAAAATGAACAGAAAAGTTGTGTTCTGAATTGGAAAAAGCTAAGCTTGTTGCTCAGATCTGGAATAAATCTGCTTTTCTGTCTATTCATCGTGTATTTTCTAGTACAACATTCATCTCTGTCTTATCCCTGGGCTATTTTTTAAAACCTCCATCTGAAAAACATTCTCAAATTTACTCAGTAACAGCTTCACGCCTGTAAGGCCAAACCGAACAGCCTTGGGCTCCATGGATAAATAATGCCGGAAAAAATCCTGAAATGTAGCAAGTCTCCTGATCTTATTACACCAGGTCAGAGATAAATTTGGGAAGCTCCTGCATAAAAATCTGATTTTTATGTTTTTTAATCAAAGTTGTAAATATGAGAATAAACAACAGCTCCTGCAGATTTCACGGTAAAAAGAGCCACAGCAAAAATCGACATCCAAGGCAACGTAGCAGTGCAACACAGCCTCTTTGGTGAGCGTGCTTGTAAACCTCGTGTTTTTCTATCATCAATTCTGAAAAAAAAAATCAAAAATGGGCTTTTGAAAGTAGAGGAGGTTACATGTGTTTCATGTTGGATGAGGAGAAATCACAGAGGAATTGTCCATTCTTCAGGATGTAGCTGCTTTGATGTATCACTGGAGCTGTTGGCAGTTTTAGAATAAATAACAACTAAAACTAAGAAGATCCCCTGAAGTTTCCTCAAAGGCAGAAGCTCAGATGTTTCCTTTTACAGCTGAATGTATGAGATGATATGTAATTTTTTTATTTGTTTAATAAAAGCAAGTTTGTTTTAAAAACCATTTTATGAATAGCCACCCAGCTCCTGGTGCAATCTACTGTCATCACCCGCCTCGATTACTGCAATGCCCTTCTAACTGGTCTTCCAGGCTGTACTGTGAGACCTCTTCAAATGGTCCAGAACGCAGCGGCGCGTCTGGTCTTCAATCAGCCAAAAAGAGCACACGTCACCCCTCTGTTCATTGAGCTCCACTGGCTACCGCTAGCAGCACGCATCAGATTCAAATTGCTACCACTAGCATACAAAGTCCGAGATGGTACGGCTCCCATCTACCTGAATCCTCTTGCAAAGGCTTACGTCTCGGCCCGGCCGCTCCGGTCATCACAGGATCGTCGGCTAGCAGTGCCTACACCACGCTCAGGACAATCCAGACTCTTCTCATGCATCGTTCCACAAATGTGGAATGACCTACCAAACACTACCAGAACAGGGGCTTCCTTTTCAATTTTCAAGAAACTCCTGAAGACCCTGCTCTTCAGAGAGCATCTTCTAAACTAGCACCCTCCCTGCACCCGAACCCTCTCTACTGTCCACTCCTTGTTCCCTCCTCTCCATGATTGATGTCAAGTTGTTGTTGTTATTGTTAGCCTCAAGTGCAACATGCCGATTATTACTTGTAAGTCGCTTTGGACAAAAGCGTCTGCTAAATACATAAACATAAACATAACAGTAGGTAGCTTGAATGACATTCTTCTAAATCAACAGTTCTCTGGTAAAAGGGACATATTATGCAAAACTCATCTTTTACATCCCTTTGTGCTGCCACCTGGGTTTCTACTGCCTCTATAAACACTCCAAACATGAAATAATCCATCCATCTTTGTTTCTCATGTAGTAGCCTGAGCAGAGGATGGGTGGGCGTGGCCCTAACCCATCAGCTTGTTTTCTTAAAGTGACAGAGCCACGAAATGGCTCATTCTGGAAGGTACTGAAACTGTCAAGTATAAAACTGCTGAAATAGCTTCATGTGAGAAATTTAAGAACTTCATGAACGTGTTTTATCAACCATAGAACTGTTCTAACGTAAGGAAAAAAGGCTGTGTTATCTGTATTCTCCTAGCAGGTTAGCTTCCAACATTTGCTTCTAAAACACAAGGAAATACACTAAAGATTAAAACGAGTCCTTCTACTAAGAACATTGACTGAGGGTCTATGAAGCTTTTATGTTCTGCACAATCACCAGCATACGAAATCTACGTGCTTTATGTCTCCCAGCCAATACTCCAAGATTGATTTTGCCTCCTCTGCCGAGAAAACAAAATGAATCACACACAATTACCAAGGACAGGGAGAAAAGGGGAATTGGGGGAGTCATAAATATTTATTTGCCAGCCCTGGAAATTTGTGCAATTCTGTGTGGATTTGCCAACTCATATTTAAGTGTCTGAATGATTTATCTGGGCAGTTCTGGGGGTGTCGCATTTATCCACTGTCATCCTGAATCACTTCTGCATTAACATTTATGGATTTAACATATAACATTTTCATGTTGTAATGCTATTATCATTCAAGTGTTTTTCCTGACCAGGTGATTGGCTAAATGAAGTCGTTACCTGCAGGATTTTTCTGAGAATTTCGGAATGCTCAGAATTATTCATGAAATGTGTTTTTTTTTTTGTCTTTTTTATATCAACTCATAACAAAATCTAGTAAATATTTGTCTTTA